TGAGGAGGGAGCTAGTCCCTCACTGGAAATAGAGAAAAAGGAAAGAAATGCCCACATCTGATCCCTGTGGAAGCTTTTCTGACTTGGCCTGGTTTGGCAGACTGGTGGTCCCCCACTCCTGAAGGCTCACCATATTGATATCACACTTGATACAAACAGTTAATCAACTTTTGCCGTACTTGCAGCTCAGAACTCCTGCACTCAAGAGATCCTCCAGCCTCAGTCCGTGCAAGAGTAGGAATTATAGGCATGTAATGCCCTATCTGGCTGTTATTTCATTTTTTAAAACCAATTGGTGGACACCTCCAAGATAATTACCCAATTGTTGTTTAGTCATATTCGACTCTTCATGACCCCATTTGGGGTTTTCTTGGCAAAGATACTGGAGTGGTTTGCCATTTCCTTTTCTAGCTCATTTGACAGGTGAGAAAACAGGATTAAGTGACTTGTCCAGGGTCACACAGCTAGTAAGTGTCTGAGGCTAGATTTGAATTTATAAAGACGACCTCAGGCCAGCCCTCTATCCACTGTATCACCTAGCTACCCAATTACCCAGTAGTGAAGCATAATTTCCTTTAAAAATACCTTACTAATTATTTCTAAAGAATAATTAAAAAAGAGTTCTTGGAACACCTGGGGACATTGGAGCTGCTGAGGCTGGGTGCCACTGACAGTATTATAATAGTAATAATAGCTAGCATTTATATTGCTCTTCGTTTTTGTTTTTTTAGTGAGGCAATTGGGGTTAAGTGACTTGCCCAGAATCACACAGCTAGGAAGTACTATGTGTCTAAGGCCAGATTTGAACTCAGGTCCTCCTGACTCCAAGGCTGGAGCTCTAACCACTTTGCCACCTGGCTGCCCCTATATTGCTCTTTGATGTTTACAAAGTGCTTTAATGTAGACATACATTTTGTGTGTGTGTGTGTGTGTGTGTGTGTATGTGTAAGTGTGTGTGTCTGTTTGATCCTTAAAACAAGTCTGGAGGTAGATGTGGTTGTTATTCCTATTTTACAGAAGAGAAAACTGAAGCAGAAAGAGGTTAAGTGACTGGCCCAGAGTCACATCCCTAGTAAATGCCTAAGGTAGGATTTGAACTCAATTCTTGATGACTCCAAGCACAGCTCACTATCCATTATGCCAATCTCTCTCCAAGCATTGCCCTTGGTACAGGGAGGATTTCTAGCTCAAAACCCAGTTCCTCATCAGATCTCTCCACAATATTATTCTCCTGGTACCTTTACCTAAGCTTCACTAGTAAATCAAATTTCATCCTTACTTTCCTTCTCCCACACAGCACATGTGCTGGTGTTATATTGAGAAAAAAAAACTGGGTTCAAACTCTGACACATAATACCTATGTGATCTCTGGAAGATTACTTAATGTTTCAGCACCCTGGGTAACTCTTTTAAGACAATAAATTGCAGAAATCATGCCAATCTGGATTGATGGAAGCAGTTCTTTACCAGGAGCTCCCTAGATTGATGAAACTCCAAATCTCAAGTCTGTTTTTTTTTTTAATCTTACTATTTACTATGTAGGCCAAGTAGGGAAAATTTATATTAAACAAATTGAAAATTTCATGGCACACCTAGCAAATTCATGGTAAACCCCTTGAAAATAACTGTGTCCTCAAAAATCCTAGATGGGATAAGGAATAAGAAAGGAGAAGGAAGGGAAATAACACTTGGAAAGGAACATTATAAATTAAAATCATGAAAAAAGAATGATGGATGAAGGGATAGGGAGAATCTGGTAGTTTAACTAATACTCAAGTGAGCAGGCTTGCAGGTAGTTCAACCACAAACTGTATTTTACAGGGATAAATAATCAAATACTTGCTACTATCCTTGGATCTGATCTAGGAAGGGGAAGAGTTTGAAAGGCAAAAACAGAATGAGAAAGACAGAGACAGAGAAACAAGTAAGACCCATAGAGAGAGAAACAATATAAGTAATTCCAAGAAGTTTGATATTCAACAGGATAATAGGAAGTACTTTGGAAAGAGGAAAGCAATTGGGTATAAATAGAGATTTTTTTTTAAATTAAGGGCAGAAACTAAGTGTTAATTTAAAAGAAGAGGTAAATTTACATTATATCATTATGTTATGTTATTTATATTATATCATTATGTTATGGATTCACATAACATAGCTGATGGGAGAAAACACAAACTTAACAATTATAACCCTAAAATAAATGAATTTAATTCCATGATAAAAAGAAAAAGGATCAAGGACTATATAAGAAAACAAAATCCAACAATTTGCTATCTATAAAAAAACATATTTATAACATAGACACATACAGAATGAAAATGAGGGATGGAACAAAAACTGTTATGCTCCAGATCTCTTTAAATAAAATAGAAGTTGCATATAAGATCTCAAGTAAGGCAACGATATTTTAAAAATCTAAAGCAATAGTTCTCAAAATTTTTAATCTCAGGATCCCTTTACACTTTTAAAAATTATTTAGGACTTCAAAGAGCTTTTGTTATAGGGGTTATACTTATCAATGTTTACCATGTTAGAAATTAAAACTGATAAATTTGTTAGTTATTCATTTATTAATTCATTTAAAATAACAACAATGAACTCATTATATGTTAACATAAATAACATATTTCATCCTTTGTTACAATACTTTTTTTTTCAGCCAAAGACAAGGTTGATTAGAACATTGTCATATTGGGCATACTCTTAAGGAGTCTGAACATGGGTAAGCAGTGGCTAGATTTTAGGAATCCCAGTAGTGGCTAGATTTTAAGAATCTAAGCATCTTAATGGAGAAAAGATGGATAGAGAAAGCCTGTGGGAGGGATCTAGGAGTGGCCAAGTAGTTTGGGATGATGGGAGGAGGGGCCTAAGGAGATCTGGATGGGAGTGGCCAGTAAGCTGGGGTGAACAGAACTCCTGGGACCTGGACAATGGAGCCCAGATAGGATTAAGTGTGGGAAATGGCCTGGGGAGGTAAGACAAAAGAGGGGAGATTGGGTGTACACACAATGATAGGCCAATTGATATAGCCTCAGGCAAACACCAGAGTTTTGGCCATGTGGGAAAGTCCAGGCTTTTTCCTTTCTGGGGCTCAGATCCCAACCCCATCATTCCCCCCTCAAATTCTTTTAGAGTAAGAGATGAAGGTCTCAGCTTCTGAAACAGCTTCCTGCTGGCAAGGGGCATAGAGCTGTCCCTGCATAGAGGGGGTCCCAAAGAGAGGTTGACTGGAACTGAGCACAGGCTGCATCCAGGGAATGATGTGGGGACATTGGCTGGTACTTGTTTGTTACCAACTGTAGGTGAATGGCCCATAGTCTGAAAGACATAAATCTGACAGAAAAAACTGCAGGGCCCAGATATAAAGCAGGGACTAGATTTAGGGCCCAACTTTAGGAGGATAAAACATCCTTAGCTCTGTTTGGATTCAGATAATTAAGTTTTCCAACCATTCAGTATCAAATCCACCTCATAACCAAACTCAGGAATAGCCAGGTGGGTAATATTCCCTTTCAAAGGAACATAATGGGGAAAATGGGCCAGGAGGATCCCATCTTAGACTGAGGCTAAAATTGTCCTCTCAGCTTTTCCCAATGCTGACTTCCCACCAGTATCACCTTCTCTGAGTAGCTTGTGGCATTTCTCTCAGATAGTGGATTATTGATTATTGATGGATTATGACCCATCAGACAATTCAAAATAAAATCCTATGAGCTTTTACCTCAAACAGCAAGTTTTGTTAATCACAGCCTAGAAAAACTTTTCCAGGATTTACATCTCAAATTTAAATTTGTCCTGGTGTAGAAAGCCAATCATTAGAGATTTCTACACAATTGAAAATTCTCAGCAAGCCACACATAACCCAAGCAAGCTTTTTGGCCAGTTTACACATTAAAACAATAACCAACAATAGCTAAATTATTTTAGTGGTAACCAAATTATGAAAAGTTGCTTGACATAACTGATACAAAAAGTTCACCAATTTGAAACTTGAAACAAATCCATTACCAATAAGGTGACTTCAGTTTTGTCAAAAGCATTTCCAAGTTACTTTACATGCAGAATCAATATCTCATCATTAACAGTTAAAACTAAAACTTTAGGAAGAGCATGCTTACCCAAGTTCGGAGGCCTGCTTCTTCATCTTGAGCAGGATGTGCTGAAACTGGATGATGCTTCTAGGCAAAGGTTGCCCTAGAGACCAAGGCCATTGCCAGGAGTACCCATGCTGTAGCTGCTGCCCCTCCCCCTCCTTTCCCAGGTGGGGGAGGGTGAAATCAAAGGTGAGGGGTAAAGGGTGAAACTCTCTTCTCTTGTGAGAGGGGTTGACAGATACCGTCTTGACTCAAGGGAAGGGAGTGACCAGGTTGTACAGATGTTTCAAAACTCCTTAATGCTCAATCACAAAACTTCCAGAATGTGCCAAGATATTTTTAGCTGTTATAACTTTCCCTGTAACCTCCATGAAGGAGGATTCAGAGGTGCAGAGGGAAGGGAGTAAGTAAGCCTCAGGGAACCAAAAAGCAACTGTAGTTTTCCCCAATTCCCTAGCGCCAAGAGAATTAACAGAATTGGGCATACACTTCCAGATAGGGCATCCATCCTTGTCCTTGATGCTGCGGAAGGTATACCCAGGTCCATGGCCTCAAACTGACCCAGTGGACCCAGAGCCTGAGAGCATCACGCCGAGTGCAAGACAGCCTCATAACTGTCTGCCTGAAAAGCACCTTCAAGCCTTGGTGCTTAGAGAGCAACCCCAACTGCAGAGCAAGAAAGGGAAGGAGAGGAGGCTTATGTGCCTTCCAGTCTTGGCTGGAGAAGAACTTGGAGTTAGGCAGTTTCCCTGTACAGGCCACCAAAATGATGCGGTTTGGGGGTTCATGAGTACTGGGACCCCAAAATCACAGCAGCGGGTCCTGTCTAAAAGAATTCAACCCAAGCCTTCTTTCAGCCAAAGACAAGGTTTATTAGAACATCTGTCACATTGGGCAGACTCTTAAGGAGTCTGAACATGGGTAAACAATGGCTAGATTATAAGAATCTGAGCAGTGACTAGATTTTAAGAATCTAAGCCTTGTTACTATACATTTAAAGAGCACATATTCTCTCTACTATTTTTTCTAAGTCAAAACACTTCTCACTGGCATTTCACAAATTCGATACATCTTGAAGAAGCATGTTATATCATTCCAGTTGCGATTTGCATTTGAACTGTCTCTTATGGTTATACAGTCCTCAAACCCAGCAATGTTGTTTGGCTCCCCTATATCCCAGAAGCTGTAAGAGACATGAAATATGTTAATTCTTGGGGTGCACGAGTGAGTAAAGGAAGGTTATTTTGGTTTCATTTCTTTAGCGCTAATCTCCCCATCTTCCACTTTTTATGTACAGGTCATTTCATTGGCTAAACACTGTCTATTAATTAATGGCATCCCCCAACAGCAGCAGAGTGATATAATGGGGAAAGCCCTGAATTTGGTGTCAGAAGATCTAGATTCCTCTTGTCCTATTTCTTTCACCAGACATATAACCTTAGATATGCCACTTAATCTCTCTGAGTTTCTGTTTCCTCACCTGTTATAAAATGGATATAATAATATTATTGGTTTCTTTAAGATGATCAGTTGACATAATCTATGTGTGTGCACATGTGTATATGAAAGTGACTTGCAAACTATAACTTCTGAATTCCAAAAGATAAAAGCATGGAGAGAGAGATTTCCAGCTGTTTTTTCTACATCCAAGACACTGAAGTCTACCCTCTCTCTCAAATGCCTTATTTTTTTTTCCTTGTTTATTGCTAATCCTAGGCTCAGAATTTTAAATGCTTTTGCCTTTTGGTCTCTCTTTCATTTTATAAGCCCTGTTCATTCACTGACTCATTATTTTCTCCTCCTCCTCCTCCTCCTCCTCTTCTTCTTTTTCTTCTTCTTCTTCTTCTTCCTCCTCCTCCTCCTCCTCCTCCTCACTTCCTTCCTCCCTCACTCCTTCTCTCCCTGTCTCTTTGCATCTCTCTGTCTATCTCCACCACCACCCCTTCTCTCCTTATGGTATAAGAATAAGGCAAAAAGGTTCATGGATCTCACTTCTCTCCCTATTCTTCCCTCCTCTTCTCTCATGTATCCTACCCAGATGCCCCAAAGATGGAGCCAGAATTGTCTCATGAAGCAGCAAAAATTGACCCCCGGACTCTCCTTTAAACGTGACTCATGGAAAGAAGTAGGGAGAGATAATGGGGACCCAGCTTTCTTCAGGAAGGAAATCACCTCAAATTTTTGTTGAATGGCGTACCATCTACCCACTCCCAATGACCATCAACCACTTGGTCTGTCAGCCCAATGTAGAACTCTCTTCCACTGGGTTTTGCTTGGAAAAGGAAATTCTAGAAGAAAACACAATTGAACAAGTTGGAGATTGCTGATTTTAGCTCATGACAAGGCAAAGGAAATAGCTACCAAATGGGGAAAGATGCAGACTTTGGGGACCCAGCATGGAGAGATAATGAATGAATACACAGATTTCATTGAAGGATACCTTAAAAATCATGTCCTCATAAAGAGTGCTTGAATTGGAGCCAGGATTATTTGAGTTAAAATTATACTGTGGACAAGCATCATTACCTCATTTTGCTTCAGTCTTCTCATTTAAAAAAATGAGGATACCTATACTATCTACCCCACAGAGACCCAATAAAATGATATTTATATTTTACTAATTTAAAATGCTTCGTTAATACTGGGTTTTATTAGTATTAGTGTTAATTCATCCCTTAACATTCAAAAGGTAGGAAAATATATATTATAATTTTTTTTGAGTCTCATTCACCCTCTCTTACCAAGTCTGGAAGTACAATGGCTACTCACAAGCTCCTTCCCAATTCTGATAGTCATGGAAATTTTAACTTGCTTCATTTTTCTGACCTGAAACAGTTTGACCCTTCATAGGTAGGCTGGGACTCCATGCTGTGAGAGAAAGGAGTTACCACATTTGTGCTATACTTTGTATGGACACCCAATCAGCATTAGTCCTACTGAAGCTTTGAACAGCCTAGTTCAGGTGATCCATCCACCTCAGACTCCTCCAATAACAGGTATTAAAGGCTTGTGCCATCATGTCTGATGATGTATATTATTCTTAAAGTATACCAGAAAGGAGATTATACCACCATCCTCACAGGTTTATCAATGCCCAATAAATCCTTCCTCATTCTCACATATAAATGTTATGATATAGGGTCCTCTTTTTCCATATGGCGGTTGAGAAATAACACACATATGTAAATTAACATAATATTTCATCTTGGACCATGAGCATCTGGAAGAGGTACTCGTGGGGGTACATCGATTCTGGTGGAAGACCAATTATGTTTCTCAAGATACCTGCTCCTCTTGTGTGTTTATAACTGCCAGGTTGGCCCCCATGCTTTCACAGTTCTTCAAACTTGCAGTCCAAGTCATGGTGTCATTAGAGAAGAAGTAACAGCTGGATTGAAATTTTTTCCAGTTCAGTGGGCAACAAGTATTGATAACTCCTAAAGAGAGTTTAAAGTTACAGTGAGCATTGCGATGGAAAAGAAGACAAAGACAGAAGAATTTCATTAGGACCATTTTAGGCCACTGGGAAAGTCCGTCTACCAACCATTAGCACAAAATGAGGCTCCTTCTATTCCTACTCTCAGATTTCAGTCGATTTCAATATGTTTTTTAATGCCATCGTTCCTCCCTTGGATGTCACTGCATAACCTATGGTTTCCCGTACATCACTGTAATTCAATTCAATTCAATTTACATTTATTAAGAACATCTAACCTGTTCAGGGCAGTGAAGTTACAAATAGTCTTCAGAGAGAGGCTATTAGGTGGTATAGTGGAGCTGAACCTAGAGTCAGGAAGACCTGATGAGTTCACTTACTAGCTATATGATTGCTTTCTCTGCTTGCCTCAGTTTCCTCAACTATAAAATGGGAGTGATAATAGCACCTACAATGCAGGGTTGTTGCAAGAATCAAACTAGATATTTCTCAAAGGTACTTAGTACAGCACCTGATGCATAGCAGGCACTAGATAAATGCTTATTCCCTTCCCCTCTTTCTTTGCCAGTAAGAGGCTTACCATTTAGGAAAGAGAATAAGATTTGTAAATAAATAAGCGTAATACAAACTAAATATGATAAAGTGCAAAAGAGAAATCCAAAGATGGTAGTAGAGATTTGAAAAGGAGAAACATAACTATAAATCAAACCTAGCTCAGTATCTTGCTCCCTGTTTATACTGCTGTGGGAAGAGATGATTGTGTTTTGCCATGAACAACACAAAAGTAACCTCCTCTGTACTTTTATCAAAGTGTGTAGGCAGCCTTTTTCCCATTCATACCCTCTGCCCTCTCAATCTGAGGTGCAGAAAAGCAAATGACTTGCCTGAAATTGAGAATTGAAATGAATTTAACAATCAGAGAAAGTGCATTTCTGAAGTGTTCCCCAAATCCCCACTCTAAAAGCATATTCCTCTTTCATTTACTTTCTGGTTTTAGAAGTAGGTGACAATTGAAATGAAGGATGACACTACCATCATTATTGTCAAAGCAAATAAATGTCTCATTTCTTCTAATTCATTAAAGTCATTCTTGTCTCCCCCATATTTCCAACCTGACAAAAATTGTCATTCCATTGTTCTGTTTATGCCCCACTTCCTGTATTCAACCTCTCAAGAAGTGGTCACCATGGTCTTGTGTCAATCCTCCATGTCATGCCAATCATTTGGATTAGATTGCCCAGTTGATCTGCTGGAGAACTGGGCCTGATTTAACTACCATTTACTTATCTTTCCTACTCTTCTTCCCAAGTGCTCTGAAATCAGCCTATGAGTACAAGGAATGTGGGCATGTGAATAGGTCTCTTATTTGATGGATGACAAACCTGAGGCATCAGGAGAGCAAGAGGATTCCTTGAAATGTTCAATCAAATCGAACTGGTTCTTGTCTTCTTCACAGCTCTGAGAGAATAAGTGATATGACACTAGAAAGAAGTAAGAATGTCATTGTCTTTCACTTTTAAGACTATTTTTCTCTTCTGTCTACTCCTTCATCATAAAAGCGCATTGGATTGAATTCTGTGATTTGGTTAAAGTGCCTTACTCGAAAGAAGGAAATGTAATCTTATCTGCTTTGGTTTCTACCTCCCTACTCCATCTCCCCAGATATCCTCCCTCAGGTACAAGATCAGCGGCCAGGCTTTTTAAAATTAAAAGAAGAAAGGAAAGAAAGAAAGAAAGGAATGAGGGACGAAGAGAGAAAGAAAGAGAGACAAAGAGGGCAAAAAAGAGGGAGAAAGAGGGAGAGGAAAGAAGGAAAGGAAGAAGAGAGAGAGACAGAGGGCAAAAAAGAGGGAGAAAGAGGGAGAGGAAGGAAGGAGGGAAGGAAGGAAGGGAGAGAAAAGAAAGAAAGAAAAAAGGGAAGGAAAAGAAGGAAAGAGAAAGAAAGGAAGGATGGAAGGAAGGAAGGAAAAAAGAAAGAAAAAGAAAGGAAGGAAGGAAGAAAGAGAGAGAGAAAGAGAGAGAAAGAAAGAGAAAGAAAGAAAGAAAAGAAAGATTAAAACTTATGACTCTCTGATTTATGTCATCCAGTTCCTCTGAGCTCTCTTCTCCTTAAAAGGAATTATTACTCCTATTCATGAAGTACACCATACCCCTAGGTCCCAAGATTAGCACTTTCACATTCATTCATTCAATAAACAATCATTAAGTGCCTACTATGCGCCCAGCATTGTGCTAGTCCCTGGGAATACAAAGACAAAATCAAAATCTCTCCCTCCCAGGAGCTTACATTCTGTTGCAGAGATACAACATGTAAACATATAAATATAAAATAACAATAAAATAATTTTGTGTGGTGAGAGCATTAGCAACTGGGGGGTCAGGAGAGGCCTCATGTAGGAGGTAATACTTGCCCCAAGCTTCAGTTTAGCAATCCCCCGAAAGTCATATACCAAACCTCTGGACATGATTTATGAGTACAAAGTTTAAGACCAGGAGTTCAGCCAAAAGGCAATAACTAAATCCAAAGTTAAAAAGAGGAGATTACAAGATGAACACGAGGATGCAGCTTCAAGATCCAGGCATTTAATAAATTACAGAAAGCTTATTTCAAAGTTTCTTAGAAATATAGAACAAATACCAGTTATAAACACATTATGATGAATATAAAGTGTTGGTAAATACTATTGTGCCAAAAGAAATGATGAAATATACAGTCTCAGGGAAACCTGGGAAGACATGTATGAACTGATGAACAGTAAAGTGAGAAGAGCCCAGAGAATCATTCATGCAATATTAACAAAAATGTAAACTACTAAAGACTTCTCAACTCCGACCAACACAATCACAATTCCAGAGGACCAGTGATAAAACATGCCACCCACCTCCTGACAGAGATGATGAACTCAGGATGCAGACTGAGACATAAATTTTTTGGACATGGTCAATGTGGAGACTTCTTCTGCTTGACTATTAAACACATTTGTCACAAGGATTTTGTTTTTCTTTTCTTTGTTTTTTCCCAACGAGGAGGGAATAAAAATAGATTTGTACTTATTGAAAAAATATTTAATTTTTAAAAAGAAATAGAAGGTGACAAAAGTGTCACAAGGGATATGGCACCCAGAGTATGGTGATATATCTGCACCACAGATAAATGGCCCAAACTTAGATGTATGGCCCAAAGGACACCACATGGAGAAGGGAACAGAGGAAACCTGGGTGGGAAAAGAGGGAGTAAAAGATACAAGAAAGAGCAGACTTGATGGCAGAGTTCAACTTACCAACACATTTGGTGATAAAACAGGAGCTGAGGAATAATATGGAAACTCCAGCGATAGCACAATAACATAGAGGAGAATGGAGCCCTATTCTCTCTGTGGAGACAGAAAGTCCCAGACAAAGGATCCCATAAGGATGTTGGAACATAGCATGGTCCTTTCCGGCTTCATTAATACTATGAGAAATCTCAGCATATAAATCTAACTAGGACCCAGATCCCACGAAACTCTCCCTTTCCTAGCTATTTCCTTTTCTTCTCATCTCCATCTTTGCCATCGTTTTCTCTTTCTTTTAACTGATTTCTTTTTAACTGTCTTTCCCCAGACCTCCTGTTTCCCAATCTCTAACCACTTGCCTTCACCACTGCTCTGCTGTGGGTTTTTTTTTAATGCAATACCTTTTCATCTTCATCCACCACTCACTCCTTTTCCAATCATCCTTTCTCCTTCCCTTCACCACCCCACCCAAGGAAGAATTCTAAGCATAGAAAGAGAGAATCAGTGACGTCACCTGTGTTTTCCGATGCAGAATCTTTGGGGGGATCCATTTCTCTTCTCTGTCTCTCACTAACTTAAGAGTCTTTTCTTATGAATGATATTCAGGAAAGATGGTTTTGAAAGCTTGAACCTTTCTCAGTCATTCTCTGAGTGCATGCTAGTCCCAGTGATTATGGAATCATATATTTCCTTTGGGCAATGTGAGCTTACAGTAGGATTTCCCCACTTACATAAGGCATCAAGAGATGTCAACTTCCTATCTGGACTTCAGCACTGTATTTCATCAGTTCTGTTCAATCTAACAAACAACAGAATGGAAATGAAGAAAAAGCACTAAAAATATCCACAAGTCACATGAGCTAGGGGAAGACCATGAAAAGCTTTCTGTTCTTGATTTGCTTTTGTAGTTGCAGGAGGGCTGTAGTACCATAGATTTAGAGCTCAAAAGGACATTAGAGATCACCTAATTCAATTCCTCTGTCTTGCAGTTGGGGAAACTGAGGCCCAGACAGGTGAGGCCATTTGCCCAAGGTCACACAGGTAGTGATGGTAGACATTTGCCTCCAGGACTTCAAATCCAGTGCTCCTTCTATAGTATTTCCTTCATATATATTTTCAAGGACTAAGTGAATCTCATTTCTTTCATGAAGCCTTCTCAAACTGCTCCAGCCAATGCCATTTGCACCCCACTGTTTAGCATTTTGTTATATACTTTCTTATATTTTCCCCAATGGTTTTATGGATTCTAGTCCTGTTTGTCCCTCAAAAAAGTTTTTGAGGCATGGATCTTGTGATTTAATTTTGTTTCGCATCACCACGCTCCACTCCCCCAGCATGGTCCTAGGCATATTACGTATGTTTAGTAAACATTTTTTAATTCATTGACAAGGTGTTTTTCAGCCTCTGTGATTTTGTTCCTTTCTTTATTTGGGATCTTGATGACAATTCTGACTCAATGATATTCCAACCATAAATTAATTTTATTCTATTTCCTTCTCAAGGAAATTATTAAATATTAAAAACATTAAATATTAAAATAATAGCTAGCATGTAAATAGTATTTTAAGAATTACAATGTACTTTACATATTTTATATAGATATTTGATTTCATTTGATCCTTATGACAACCTTTTTATTACTCCCATTTTACAGATGAGGAAACTGAGACCAAGAGAGGTCAAATTATTTGTTCAGGGTCACACAGATTGTAAGTGTCTGAGCCATTATTTGAACTCAGGTCTTCCCGACTCTAAGTTCAACAGTCTATCCATTATCAACAATAAATTGATGAGCATTTATTAAACCTACTATGCACCAGGCACTGTGGTAGGTGCTGAGGATACAAAAAGAAGCAATAGTCTCTGCCCTCAAACACTACAATCTAATGAGTAAGATAACATGCAAACAAATCTATACAAAGCAAGTTATATAAAGGATAAATAGACAATAATTAACTGAGGGAAAGCACTGGAATTAAGAAGGCTTGGGGAAGCTTTCCTGTATGAGGCAGAATTTTAGTTGGGACTTAAAGGAAGCCAGGGAGGTCAGTATTTGGAGTGGAGGAGGGAGATTACTCCACGCATGGGAGACAGCCAGAGAAAATGTCCAGATCGAGAGATGGAATGTCTTGTCTGTGAAACAGCCAAGTGGCCAGTGTCACCAAATCAAAAGAGTACAAGTTAGGGAATAAAGTGTAAGAAGACAGGAAAAGTAGGAGGGGGCTAGGTTATGAAAGGCTTTGAATGTTAAACTGAGTGTTTTTACTTGCTCTGGGAGGCAATAGGGAGACCCTGGAGTAGGGGAGGTGACATGATCGGACCTACATATTGGAAAAATCACTTTGGTGACTCAATGAAGGATGGAGAGGAGTAGGGAGAGACTTGAGGCAGGCAGATTCGCCAGCTGGCTATTGCAATAATCTATGTATGGGATGATGAGGGCTTGCACCAGAGCAGTGGCAGTGTCAGAGGAGAAAAGGGGTTTATTTGAGAGATGTTGCAAAGGTGAAATGGTGACAGGCCTTGGAGAGGTGAAAGATAGTGAGGAATCCAGGATGACCCTTAGGTCATGAGCCTAAGGGTCTGGGAGGATGGTGTTGCCCTATACCGTAATAGGGAAGGCAGGATGTGGGGAGGGTGTAGGAGGAAAGATAATGAGTTCAATTTTGGACATACTGAATTTAATACATCTACTGTACATCCAGTTCGAGATGTCTGAAAAGAAGTTAGAAATGTGAGCTTGGAGTTCAGCGGGAAGATTGAGGCAAGGAAAGTAGATATGAGAATCATCAGCATAGAGATGGTAATTAAATCCGTGGGAAATGATGAGATCACCAAGTGAAGAAGTATAGAAAGAGAAGAGAAGAGGGTCCCGAACAGAGCCCAGAGGAATATCTACAGTTGAAGGGTGTCATCTGGAGGAGGATCCAGCAAAGGAGAAAGAAGGAACTGTCAGATAGGTAGAAGAACCAAAAGAGAGAGGTGTATCAAAAACCTAGGGAGAAGACAGTATCAGGGAGGAAATGGCGATCAACAGTGTCAAAGGCTGCAGAGAGGTCAAGGAGAATGAGGAGCAAGAAAAGACCATTGGATTTGGCAACTAAGAGATCATCAGTAACTTTGGAGAGAGCAGTTTTGGTGGAAAAATAAGGTCAGAAGCCAGATTGTAAGGGGATAAAAAGAGAGTGAGAGGAGAGAAAGTGGAGGTACATATTGAAGACAGTCTTTTTGAAGAGTTTAGCTACAAAGAGAAATAGGATGATAGCAGAGATGGAAGGATCAAGTGAGTTTTCTCAAGATAGAGAAGTGGCCATGTTTATAGGCAGTAAGAAAAGATCTTAGGGAAAGACTGAAAATAAGTGAAACACTGTGGATGACAAAGGGGGCAATCTGTTGGAGGAGACACTTGCATAAGTAGAGAATTATCCTTGGTAAAGAGTAAGGCCACTTCATCATGTGAGACAGGGGTGAAGGAGGAAATAGTGGCAAAAAAAGCACCTGAGTGATAGTGAGGAAGAGGGGAAAAGAGAAAGTTCATAGTGAATGAACTCAATTTTTTCTGTAAAATATGAAGCAAGGTTGTCAGCTGAGAAAGAAGAGGGAGGGAGAGTCATGGGAGATTTGAGGAGGGATGAAAAGATTTGAAAGAGTCCCTGTGGAGAGCGGGATAGTGACTTGACGAGGGATGCACAGTAGGACTGCGGAGCAGCAGTGAGGGGTCAGTGTAGGTTATGTAACATAAATCTGTAGTGGACCCTGTCAGAGCAGCTGCGTGGTTTTCTCCACCTTTGGTCAGCAGCACATATGGGTATAAAAATGGCGAATGGTGGGAGTAATCCTAGACGCAGCCTTGAGTGGGAGTAATTGGCAACGTGATAAGGGGACTAGGAATTCAAGAGAGGAAGTAGAGTTTAATTGGTTTACCAGTGAGTCAAGATGGGAGAAGAGAGTGGCTAGAACACCTTGGTGCCCCATCCTTGGTACTTTCTTCTAGGTCTACCCAAGGAGAGCATATCTCAGTTTCTACTTGAATATATTAATGGATCCAGGATCTCATTATGTCATATGTATTACCTTTGTTGGTGCACATCACACCTTTTCCATGCCTTCTTGTCCATCTTCTATAGCTCTTCTACAGAAAATCCATACAATGTGCTAGGGTTTTTCCTCTAGGTATTTTCACAGTGCAAGGATACTTGCAAGAAGCACTTAGGCTATGCATATATTGTTAACTCCTTTCTCACACCACATACATGAATGAATAAATTAAATAAAGCATTTGTTAAGCAGCTACTATCTGCAATGCACTGTGCTAAAAGATAAAACTAGAAAAGACAGTCTCTGCTCTCAATGGGCTTACTTTCTAATGGGGGACATAATACATGAATGACCCACCTCCTTTCCTAACCATGTGTTTCCTCATTACAACCTTTTATGACATTTCTTGACCAAAAGCCATCATTAGAAATTTGTCACAATTTCCTTATAGCAATCATTGCTCCATGGGTCTCCTAGATTACTATTAAAGTGCATTCTTTTAAAATTGCCCCTTATCTTGTTAGTACATTATGGTTCTGATGTGTTTCAGATGCTACTAAGAAAAGTAAGTATGAGAATTTTGTTAAAATGCATTTTCTAGGAATTTCCGTTTCATTCTAAAGATTGAGTAAGATGGAGTGGACTTAAATTTTAACTGAAGGAATTTAAATTAGACATATGAAAATTTATTTTCTACCTCTGACTTTCATGAAGGAAGGTTGTATGAAAAGGAGGGAGAGAAAAATGAAGAGCCTGAACAGAATAAGATTGCAAAGAAAATCATGTAGCTGAATTAGAGGGGTATAGATTATTGACATGCATCAGAGATTGAAGGAACAATTTGAAGCAAAGTAAGGAAAATTTGAAGAACAATTTCCAGATGAAGATACTGGTCTAGAACCTATTTCTAGGCTGTAAAAGAAGCAAGATCAAGATATAAAAGAATGATGACAGATCAAGGAGAAAAAAAGAATTATGAAATAGAAACCAAAGAGGTAGACAAAAAAAAAAAAGACAAAACAAATGTAGTTGACAATACAAGGCAAGATAAGCAAGAAAAGGTAAATGGAACAATTAGAGTTAAAGAAATTGACATAGTGAATGAGTGAGTGGAAAGTATTGGTGAAACAGACAGGAGATTCACACAAGGCTTAAGGGGAAGTGGGAGCAACTGCTGTGGTGGTGTTAAGACAGCAGAAAGGATTTTGAATGGAGTTGCCAAGTTACTAAGAAGTGAAAATTAGCTGGATAAAAAGGTTTCAACTAGATGTTTAGGATTGAAGTGTAACACAAACAAGTACAGTAGTTTCAAGAAACAAGGTCAAAATTTCACAAACATTGACTTGTGTTCCTACAGCTGCTGACTTGACCAGGGAAACTCCTAACTGTTTTGCTAGCCACTTGCGTCCCTTACCATCACTGAGACCACAGGGTTCCTCCTTTTCTGGGGTCATGTGGCTCTACTCTTTGAGTACAGCCCCTCTCCTCTCTGCATCACTCAGTTCTCCAGCTCTAGTTATCTTTTTTTCAAAGGCTGAGTCGGGGAGGTGTATCTCAGTTCGAGATGTCTGAAAAGAAGTTAGAAATATGAGCTTGGAGTTCAGCAGGAAGACTGAGGCATTAAATTTTGTAGTGACTTATGTTGAACATGCAATGTTCGTATTTCATCCCTAGCTGAGTGATTATCTGTGTTCCAGGGGTAGGCTGAGCTCTCTCCTGGAAGAGAAAGTGAAAGAACTAGAACACTTCTTCATATTT